TATACATATATATATATAAATATATATGTATATATGTATATACATATAAATATATATAATATATATATATGTATATATATGCATATATATGTATATATATATATATAAATATGTGTGTATGTGTATCTGTGTGTGTGTGTATGTATGCATGTATTTATATATATACATATATATAATTGCATATGTATATATATATATACATATATATAATTGCATATGTATATATATATATATATATATATATGTGTTGTGTGTGTATATATATACATATATATATATATATATATATGTATATATATATATATATATATATATGTATATATATATATATATATGTATATATATATATATATATATATGTATATATATATATATATATATATGTATATATATATATATATATATATATATAATTTCTATATTACTTATGATAAGTTTAGCTTCATCATTAGATGAATACAAAAAGAGAATTAGACAATAAAATCTTTATATGAAAGGATTATCTGAAAGGATTTATTCTCACATCAGTTACTTTTATCTTAAGCGTACATATGTTTCTCCTGTAGATGCAGTTATTTCCCGGAGGGCGGCAGGTAACTGCCAGACACACCGCCGCCTGAACCTCCGAAAGACCCGCCGCCTCCGCCGCCAAAGGATCCTCCTCCAAACCCTCCTCCACCGCCTCCGCCAGAGCCTCCGAAGGTATTGCTTGGGCCACTGTAAGTGTTGCTCACTCCCCCGCCAAAGGATCCTCCTCCGCCGCCGAAGCCACCGCCGCCTCCGCCAAGGATCCCCCGCCACTTCCGAAGGATCCGCCGCCACCTCCTCCTCCAAAGCTATTACTTGGTCCGCTGTAACTTGTACTTACTCCTCCAGAGGACCCGCCACCGAAGGATCCGCCACCACCTCCGAAAGATCCTCCTCCGAAGGATCCACCTCCCCCAAAGGACCCACCGCCACCTCCTCCTCCACCGAAGTTATTGGTTGGTCCTCCATAACTGGTACTTATTCCTCCTCCACCGCCACCTCCAGAACCTCCTCCAAAGGATCCTCCCCCGAAGGATCCTCCCCCGAAGGATCCTCCTCCTCCTCCAGAACCTCCGAAGCTATTAGTGGGTCCTCCGTAGGAACGGCTGATGCCACCAGAGGATCCTCCCCCACAGGCCTCCTCCGAGGCAGCTGCTGTAGGCCGAAACCGACGAGCAAGCCCAACACCAAACACACTCCGTCTCTGAAGGCAACAGGGTATCTTGTCAAAATGTATCATTTAACTCACTTAGGTAAATGTTATATATAGATGATATTATAGGAGATAGCAGATCTAGAGAAGATATAGAATATAGATATGTATATATATAGATATATTATAAGATAGCTATATCTAGATATATATGTGTGTGTAGTGTGTAGAGGTGTGTATGTGTGCGTGTGTATAGATAGATAGAAATATATATCGATATATATAGATATATAGATATCTATAGATGTATAAACCGATATATATAGATAGATATAGATATATATATGGTATATACATTAGATATATATATATAGATATATATGCTATATAATATTGCTATATATACATATGTATGGACATACCATAAATATATATGATCTATATACATATATATATATATATATATATAGATATAGTATATTCTATATATATTATATATGTATGTATGTCCATACATATGTATATATACATATAATAGCTATATATATTGATACCTATAATATATATGTATGTATGTCCATACATAGAATATACAATATATAGATATATTATAGAGATAGATATAATATATATATATATATCATGTATATTATATGTATAATGCAT